CTAACACGCACACCAAAAACCTTCGCAAAACACCGCAAAACACACCACAAGCCTCACCAAACGTCTCCTTGCTACCGCGACCTCGCCCACAGGAAGCCGCGACCACGTGGGAGCAGGGAAAATGGCCACGGATCCAGTTCGTAAGTTGAGGCGAGTTCGTAATTTTTCCTGCCGAAGCTGGTCATAACCCGAAATGTTCGTTAGTAGAGGCGTTCGTAACCCGAGGTACCACTGTATCTGTTATCTGCACCAAGCACTGAGATCAGGATATTTGTATGTGCAAACTGCCCTTTTCACTTCATAGAATGAAATTATTAGGAATTTGGTACTGACAGATGAAAGCAAAGAACATCTTCATACCACCTTCAAGGGCCTATTTGGATACTTGATATCCCACACTTTAAAAAAGTTTCTCCCACGGTATTACTAGTAAAATATATAGTTATTAATTATACCAAACAGAGGGACAGAATAAAGCTAATCACTCTTAGCCATGTAAGCTCACTCAGTGACTTTGGGCCAGCCACTTTTTCTTAATCCAGCCTGTCTCTCCAGGATTGTTGTAGGGAAAAACCAGTGAAGGGACTAGGAGTATGCTGCCTTAAGCTCCTGTATGAGAAGGGGATGTAAATCTAGCAATTAAGTAAATATAAACCAATCTTAACATTAATGTATCCAGATGTTTACCCTTGAATAATGTAACATATATTTATATATGAGCTTCTTTAAGGGTTCAGCTTAACTTCTACCAAAAAATTAATGAAATATTTCAATCGCTTGACCATTAATAAGATACAATTTTGCTGATTGATTATATTTTCATTCTGCCTTTCCTCCAAGAACCATAAAGTGGCACTTATGGTCCTTTTTATTTTATTCATTTATATTTCAAATTCGTTACATTTTCCCACTGCCCTGTTCTCATTCTATCCACACAACCACTCTATGGAGCAGACTGAGAGTGTATACCTGCTCTAGCTAAAAACTTCATGGATGAATATATAGTTGAACCTCTGTATTCAAAATGCATCTGTGTTATGGTCAGAAGTCATCTGCCTCATCATCAGCAGAATCTATGCTATTTTGATCTCAAAATCCACTGCTAGATTACTAAGAAGAAACATATCAGGAAGTAAATAAATAGCAATCCTTTTAGTTAAGAGATGTTGGTCAATAGATCTTCATAAAGCAAAAGCACCCCTATACCCACTTAGGTCAATCTATCAAGTACCAAAAAGTCCATCAATGATTTACAGAAAGGCAGTAACAAGCTAAAGAATGGGTACCTCGACCTTAAGTACCATATTCATAAAATAAACTAAAAATAAATTAAAACTCATCAAGTCTTTTCAAGTGAAGCTCAAAGAATTAAGTCAACTATAACAAAATCAATTCAATATTATATTAGTAGAATTGTGAACATTTTATTTTCTGAATTATAAATATAACAGCAAACATTAGGTAGTGAAAAGAAACTATACTTTGTATTTAAATAAAGTAAAGATTTAGAGTTAAAGATAATTTCATACCTCAAGTGGAGAATCACAGAGGAATCGCGTAAACTATATTTGGTGTATTTTTCAGAAGTCCAGATCACCAGAAAAGTCAGATCAACATGAAACAATGAAACACAGAGTAAAGTTAATAGATATTTTTTCACTGCATTATTATGCAATATTATTGAAAACAATGAATTCATGTCTAGTACTTTGCTATTAATAGTGCGAATTGATGGAATAAATCAACTATTTCAAAGTCTTCTATCACGAAACAGAATAGCAATAAGAGCAACAGTTTTTAGGTGGAATTGTCCTAATATCAACAACATAATTAGTTTTTTAAATTTAGCTCCGGGAAATCTATAACTGTTGCTATGCTATATGAAAACTGCTGCATATCTGACCCTTATATAATGAACTAGATTATGTTTTGGTATTTCTAATTTAACAAATACATCCAAAAGCATTCAGGTGGCTTCTATTTTATACAGGGATATTAGAACATTTTAATTATTACAAAATGAAAACTGCAGGGCAATCAGATGAACAAACTGGGACAATATGAAACCTATAAGAGCTATTGCCAAGATAGGATGGTTATTAGATATCCTACATCAAGTGATGTATGGGCTTCTATTACCAGCCCACTAATGTTGAAAATGAGCTTTAATATTTTGCTTGGAAGACACTGTTCTGGAATTACTAATTAAAATGCTCTTCCCTTGCTCTTAATAGCCTATTGGTCCTGCTTTCCTTGACCTTCATGTGTAGAGTAATTTGAAAAGAGAGCAGCAATGTAAGTCACCCAAAAGCATTTTTTTAAAAAATTATGGGGTTTCATATTTAACCTTAATGCAGAAATAGTTCTGAAGAACCCATATGAACACAAAGAAAACAAAGTCAGTCAAATATATATTTGTTACAACAAAATAATGTCCAATTCAAATGTAGTATTGTCTGTCTTTATAGAAAATGTTTTAAAAAATCTGAGGAATCTCATTTGTTCATTCACTTTCATTTATGGCAGTACTGTGAGCAGAAGGTAAAAACCACATGAAGCCAAGGTACACAACTTTTCATGCTACAGAAACTGTAACTAGATAAGAAAAAGGAAATTAGTTATCAATTTCATGGTGCTATCCAGCCAAAAGAAATGAAAAACAAAACAAAACAAAGGAAGCCTAACTATGCAGATGAGTAACACCAAATGACAGATATAAACATGACTGGTACCTCTCCACTTTTTCCCTAAGAAGCTCAATTCGCCATGAAATAAGTTGAAACTGACACGAGTATATGGCATCCACCATTCTTTAACCCACAGTCCATAGAGCGGACACTTTGCTTTTGATGAATGTTTTAACATATTCTTGTAAATAATAAAACAAATGAAAATGGTATGGACACAGAGATTGAGAGACAGATTTGAAAGAATCAAATCCTTCCAAGAGTATTTTTTTTCCTCATGCCACTTATTTTGTTCTTACTGCATTGCATTTGCAACCCAAAGAAAGTTTAATTAACCTACAAATGGATAGTAAATATTTACAAGCCATTTAGCAATTAAAAAGAAGACTTCTATAAACTTAAACAGGTTCTGAAGACAATGAAACAATGTGACATCCACAGATAGTCTTTTCAGTCATTCACAACCAAGCTGTTCCAAAGACTGAATAAACTGAAGCTCTGTGACAAACTTATGAGAAAACTGTTGGTTTCATTATTCTAATTATACTCCTGAATTTGAGAGTAGTTAACTTGCATTCAAATCTGAGAAACAGCTTATTGTAGTAGCGTCTGCTTTGCTTTGCTTTTATGTAAACTTGGTAGTTCCTTAATTATACCTAAAAAATAACTGGTAAATAAAGTTTAATTAAATAACATTTTTTTTCTACAGTATTGGAAATATTTTTGACACTGGAAGACCTTCCAAAATTTTTAATTCTAGCTTTCTGTTGATCAGTAAATGTTACAACATTATCTAAATATTTGCTCACATTCAAGGCCATGTAGTACAGTCTTTTATATAAAGGTATTTTCACTATTTATAGTTAACATAAACTATATGAAAGTTATGACATCTAGTCACTGTTCTGTGGTTCTTAAAAGTATACAAATTATTTAATATGATGATTAGACCTGCGTCCTGTCACAAATTCTCCTTTGTCTCCTGCACAGAGAAACCCCTTAACTACAACTACTTATCTAAGTATTTATTATTAATTTATTTTTACATCATTCATATGCTGCCTCCACTCAGGACTTATACAATACAATAAAAGTTTTCACAATACAATAAAAAACAATAAAATATAAATCATAGAAGTATTATATCATTATATCATAAAATCCCACCATAAAAAATGCCTTAGCCACCAACCAGCAGCAACCTAACATTAAAACCCAACACCCCATGGACCACTGTCTGCAAATTGTTTGGCTGAAGGTTCTCTGAAAGAAAGCCATCTTAATAGCCTTTCTAAATGTTAGTAGGCAGGAAGCCATTCTAACTGTGGAGGGCAATTTGTTCCAAAATGAGGGGCCACCACTGAAAATGCCTGCTTCCAGGCTTACTATCTCAGGAGGGAACCTGCAACATGTCCTCCCACTCAGCACATACTGGAGAGATTTTCCATAAAGCAAAGGATCCCAAATGTAGCCAGAGCCCAAGGCGTAAAGGGATTTATAAATAATGACCAGTATCTCTTCTTCCTATCACATTGGCCCGAAGAACAAAGTGAGCTTGTCTCTACAGTTCGGCTTTTGTCCGTTGTAGGAGACACCATCCTAAAGAGACACCATGGCACTTTTACTCACAGCTCCTGAACCAAGATACACTACATACACTTAAAAATGTTGGCAGTTACTTCAGGAGTGCCTTTTCTTCCTTTATGATTTCTCTCTCATCCCTGAAACATACATACTTGAACTCTTAGGGAGGAAGAGAAGGAAGCAAAGGGCCAAGGTTCTCTGCATCTGTCAACTGCAGACTGAGCAAAATAAATAAGTCTCTGTCTCCCAGGAAGGCCTTCCTCCAAGTGCTTCCTAAAATATACTAAAGATAAAACCAAGGCTCTGTAAGAGTGTGGCTCTGAGACTGAAATAGGACAGACTTGCGATGCTCCCTTTCCTTCCCAAATCTCTCTCATGCACACTGAGCTGCATACATAAACACGTACCTCAGAAGAGCAGGTAGGAAGCAAAGGCTCTCCTCACTTCACTCACATTTAGGATGTTTAGGGATGTGTTTGTATACCAACTGTTCTGTGTGGGGGAAAACTGTTTGGGAGTAGTTTGCATCCAAACTGAAACATACCGTATTTTTCCGACTATAAGGCGATAGTTTTTTCTAAAATCCTTACGCTAAAAATTGAATGGCGTCTTATTCAAGGAAGCAAGTCGAGGAGAGAACTGCGCCTGCAAACAGGCTTCCTCCTATTGCTAGCCTCCAATCACAAGTGAAATAGTTTGTCTCTGCAAACAGGCTTCCTCCAATCACGAGCCTCCAATCACGAGTGAAACTGCCCA